GAGAGGGAGGTTTCGTGAGTAGCGCAGCGTGTGTCGGCCAGTCCGTACTGTCTGTTGTTGTCGAGGTTGTTGTTATTGTCGACGGGTCCCGCACTTCCAAAATAGGAGTACAACGAGTTGGCGAGCACTCGATTTGCCGCGAGTTAGGCACGAGTTGGGATCAATTTTTGGAGAGTTTTGCCCAATTTTCAAAATTTACCGCAAATTTTCGCAAATTTTCGCGAGCTTTCGCGAGTTTTCGCGAGTTTCACGCGAGTTGGGCGTTGGCAGTGTACAACGAGTTGGCTAGTGGGGGACCCCTTGGTTGTTGTTTATCCAAGCACTAGTGAAACAATAACTTGTGCAACGTTTGCACACCAGCGTGTGCAGATCATATGACTTTGCATATTACATTGTGTCTAGCTGACGTTTGCTCACTTTCTTGATAAGTGAGCTTCATATAAACGTATAAAATTTGCACACTTGCAGACACACACGGGACTATGCTGGAAATGTCTAAAGTTCGTACACTAATTGTCGTGTACCCTTGTTAGACACCACAGTTTAATTGACTTGCATGCTAAATGAAACATTTGATTCCCCAGTGTGTTGCTATGCTATTTTTTAAAAAATAGAATAGATGTAGAATGATAATTATTAGGCTCGCAATAAGATCGCGAGCCTTACCTTACCTCATTATTAAATGTATAAAACTAGAACAGAACAATTTTCATTAAATAACCTTTGAAAGCAGGTGATATTTTACTTTAACAGTGCTGGCTCTTTCATTCCTCATTGATCTTGAAACAAAGGAGACGAAACGGGGGCTCGAATATACAATTTGTCGCGTGCTTCTCGTTTCACGCGCGGTCGCGCGCCGCCCTGCCCTCTCCCTCCTGACCAATTGGTCCACCTCTGTTAATTACGATCCCAACGCGATACCCGCGTCGCGGGACTAGCTCGAATGCTCTCTGTCCCTTCGATCTCCCTCCACCCCTCCCCCCCTTGGCCGCACGGTGCTAACGAGCGACTATGCGTCCGAAACGTCTAATGAGGACACTGGAAGATACGTCCAATTACAGACCCGCATTCCTTCCCTCCGGCTCCGGCTCGCTTTCAGCCCCCGTGCCACCCTTTCAGCGTTGTCGCTTTCTCTCCCTTCTCGCGCCGCCTCTACTCTCCCGCTGCTGCTGCGCGCTCATTCCAATGACTCCTTTTTCCCTCCGTATTAAAAGTGAAACTCGGCCCGTCGCGGCTCGCATTTCGCACACTCTTTCTGTTCTAACAGAGTGCGCATCGCAGCTGTGATGAACGGGCCGTGAGAAACAACAAAAGGGAATGGCTATTAATCAAGCAATCAGCTGTGTGTGACGTCACGGCCGGACCATTAGCGGGGTCCAGCGCCTTCTCACCGCGGCCTGCTCGGCCTGCCCGGCCTGCCCGCCAGGGGCTCAGAGAGAGGGGTCTTCGGCCGGAGAAACAATTAGTTACTCTGGCGGGGTATCGGCTATGCTCTCTAACAAAAAAAAAAAAAAGAAACATTTTTGATATTAGCATTTTTGTGTATATAGGAAAGTGGGGCAGAAACTGTCAAATGGGACACTTAATTTTAACATCGGTCAACATGTTGGCAGACATCGTGTCTCAGAAGTTTCGCAATCGCCCCTCGCCCCGTGTTACATACAGTCAATATTTGCAGATGTCTCTTCACTGAGACGGCACGTATATTTTTCTGAGGGCCTCAATCTGGACTAAAAGGCAGAAAAATGCACACCTACTGACCGTGAAAATCAAAAGGCTTGCCTAAAGGTTGCAAGGAGTACGCTGTAGACGCGGTATATATATCTTGAAAATATCAAGCCGCGAAATATGCACGAATATCGAGATCACTTCTTTTTGCATGTAAAAAATTAATAATGTTGTCGTTTTTGAGCATATACGCCGTTCCAAGTCTAGTAAGTGTGTACATTTCTCTCGCGACCTTCCCTCCATAGGCCCCGCCCCGCCCCGCACGATGTCTCTGTTTGACCTTCGACACCTTGTTAGCGACCCTCTGATTGGCTCGGCGCGCCCTTGGCCGCTGCACAAAGTTTGCCGCCGCCCCGCCGCGCGCAGCAAACGCAGCCACCCCCTCTCATTGTCTGGCAGGTACCGCTCGTGTTGTGTGTGTTAGAGGGAGACAGAAGACAGGGAGGTGAAAAGGTCGTATTGGTATATGCCAACTTTGTTTCGCTGCCAGTGCGTTAGGCCTTTTTAAGACACAATGGGTCCATCTGGGTAAAAATTAAAGGATGGTCCAGAGACTCATTCTTTATTAATGCTGCACCGCTCGTGAGCGAGGTCGGCCAGCCCACCCGCACGCGCGTCCAAAACGTACAACGGCACATTATATGCAAAATCAAGGAAGGTGTCTGAAGCTCACTCTGTTCGTGTCTAAAGTAAAAGATGACACTTGCGAAGTGACAACTGCTGTATTGAACGCTCTTAGGTTAGTCATTCCACTGGTAAAACAAAGTGTTGCAAATATTGCACACCTAATAAGTGCGCAACTCATGATCTTGCACATGACATGGTGTTTAACCAACTGCACACTTCGTAGTGTGCAAACATAAAACATTAGTTATCAAAACGATAGCGAAATTTTTAATTTTTTCTCACCAATTGACGTCTAGTTTAGTTTGACGTAATGAAGTTAGTTTTTATTATACACTTGAAACTGCACGTCATTTGGTGTGCAACTTTCTTCATTTGTTTTACAAGTGTGGAAAACTTACAACTGTTGGGTGGCCGAACCTGAGACTCGAGCTTGAATGCTTGAGGTCGGGCCGTGGGCCGTCTCGGGCCCGGCGGGCCGCGCGCCGTGACTCTCGCCTGACGCCTGCGAGCGGCGAGGTAGGCCGGCCCGCGGCGTGCGGCCGTAGTGCGGGCCGGCCCGCCCTCCGGGCGGCTGCTCGGCCGCGACCTGGTGGGCGCGACCGTTCAGTCCTAATGAGGTCCTTGAAGTGTACGGCGGCGGATGGCGCCGAACAAACTTAGATTGCACGCTTGAGTCTGACGGCAGGAGGACGTCGTGCGGCTGGACGGGGCGAGGCGGGGCCGCACCCACACCGACAGCAGCATCGGATGGCGGTGGAAATAACCCCCGACCCTTGTATTTTCATTTCCGTTGGTTGGACTCTGGATCCCTTGCTGGGGTCTATGTGTGTGTGTAGACCTCCCGCGCGGCCCCGCGCCCGCCTGGGGGATGGCACCCCCTCCCAGTCGCCGAGTACGGTGCGGGGCCCAGGAGCTGTGCAGTCCTGCGACGTGCCCCTCCCCCGACATGACAAAGCTATCGAGACTCCGTTTGCTCGCAGCCCCCAGGACCGGAGAGGGGAGGGGCCGGTAATGGAGGGAGGGAGTGAGGGGTGGGGCGGGGTGGAGTTACATAGAGCAGAGGGTTATTTTTTTTTTTCACTCCCCTGTTGCAGCTTTCATGAGATCGTTCGGGGCCGTAGGGCGCAACCCCGGCCGGTAGTGTGTGCGTGATAGCAAGAGGGGATGGGGAGTTGTGTTGCGTCTGTGGCTGGTGTGTGTGTGTGTGTGTGTGCGTGTGCGTGTGTGTGTGTGCGTGTGCGTGTGCGTGAGAGAGAGAGAGAGAGAGAGAAAGAGAGAGGGAGTTACATAGGGCAGAGGGTTATTTTTTTCACTCCCCTGTTGCAGCTTTCATGAGATCGTTCGGGGCCGTAGGGCGCAACCCCGGCCGGTAGTGTGTGTGTGTGTGTGCGTGTGTGATAGCAAGGGGGATGGGGAGTTGTGTTGCGTCTATGGCTGGTGTGTGTGTGTGTGTGTGTGTGTGAGAGAGAGAGAGAGAGAGAGAGGGAGAGGGAGAGG